GAGAGGGTGCACAGCAGCTACTATGGTATGTTGTTTCACATTATTAAGAATACTACAGTTCATATATCACAGATCTATAGAAATAGAAAATGCAAAATGGTTAAAGACTTTTGTTCTGATTTTAATGTTTGAGAATAAGACTGGGCTGACATACTGTTGCACACAGTGGTTGTAAGAAACTGAGATTTACAGTATTAAAAAATGTTGTGACCCCACCACCCCCTTCCAGTACTGTTAGTGTTTCAAGGCATTTACTCAGCTACTCCTTTACCATTTTAGGGTATTCCATTCCAGGAAATTCTCCAAATGCAGCATTGCAGAATACAAAGAATTTTTACTTCGTGGGGGAGGTGCCTGTCTTTTCAACAGGCCGACAAAGGTAATAAGTATCTTGGTAGTTAGCACTTCTGCTAAACATTGTAATGAACATGTAAAATTTCAGTAACACCCATCTGTTCTCAAATTTATTCTAATGTTTATGTGGGTGTTTGCTTGGAAGCCACTTGTAATTAGCTGACTGTTCATTCCCATAACATTTAAAAAATCTTAAGAGGATTGCAACTTGTTTTCCATCCAATTAATCATAATGAAACAATGACAAATACCACAGATTATTTTTCATAGCTAGATACATCCCCATTCAGCATAAATGCACTACTTATTAAGCTGGAAGTAGTGCAAAATAAATACAGAAGTGAGGTTGCAGTGCATGCTTCACATTCACTCAGTTCTTGGACTTTTTGCCTAAGGTTGTTAAAAAGAAAGCTAATTACCACACTAGGAATTTTAAAAAAATAGCTTACTTCATATAGACAGTAGCAGTTTGTGGTTGTTTTCAAAGTTAACTTAATTTCAGATGCACATCTTGCAAGCTGTAATTTATAACTGTTTCCTTGTACCTTCTATTGCTTGTTTTCACCTAAAAAAATTATCATGCTAATAATTTTTTCTAAGGCAATATTAGCATGACATCCTTCTAAAGCTGAGTAGTATAAAAGTATTTTGTGCAGCTCTTTTTGCACAGTAAGATCATCCAAAATAGTAATATTCTATTTAATCATGGTGTCAAATTTCCTGTCCTAGTAGAATTTAATACCATGAGACTATCAGGCTATTTTGTTTACTTTGCTGTATCCTTTGGTAGACCAAAGGATCTGGTAGACCAATTAAGTAAAAGAATTGTGCTTGTTAGTGTTTTTTAATCTTCTCCCAGTGTACCAATCTTTGCTTAGAGAATAAGAATTCTTACAGAATAGAGCAAACAGAAAAAAACCCACAGCTTCATTTTTTTATGATTGCTGTCTAGCAAGGTAGTGTGAACAAATTGTCAAATTGACTGTATACAGAATAAAAATATGGTTTACTTCTGTGAAAATGCTCTCATAAGAATGGCTGAATTATCTTTGTGTCAGTGTTTCATAGCTATGAAGTTAAAGAACTTTTGGGAAAAAAAATAATACAGTGTTTTGATTCATATTATTTGGAGGTTGGCAAGTAAGGTAGAAAACAGTGTGTTTAATCTTTAGGTAAATAAAATGTAGTTGTATTGAGGAGTCACAAAATGTAAGTTTTAATTAAAACCTTTTAGTTATGCTCTGATATGTATATGAACATTTGATGGTTCCTGATTAATACCTTAGGAAATTCTGTTATTTTCTTGCATTTCTTTGGTTGGCCCCTTTTTGTTTTCTTATGAGCTAAAGGTCAGATAACCAGGTCTGTTTGATGGAGAACTGAATTTCAGGTTCATTATAAGAGATCTTGCTGTTTCCACTGAAGTGTAGTAGTAAGAGTGGCTTATAGAGGGGGGACAAAAACCCCAACAAATGAGTTTTCTGAAGCGTGACATTGCTAGTGAAGAAGAGCACATATGGGTATTGCTTCAGTGTAGTTCTGTTTATGGCACCCAAAACTAGAGGTGGTTTTGATTACCTGTGTAGTTTATGCAACTAAAGTAAAGCGTTTTCTTTTGGTTAGGCTTTAGTTTCTTTCCCCACACCTCCAAGTACTGAAGAAGAATTTTGTCCAAGTTTATGAATAATTTGTATTGTATTATATATATATATAAAAAATATATATATATTGCATTCATCATCTTGATGATCCTCAACAGCTGTACTGCCAGTAAGCTCATGCAGAAAGCATGTTTACTCATGTTTCACCCTAATCTAGCTGTAGATTTATCTGTTCTTTTTTGTTACTTTTTAACTTCTCATTTCAACCAGACTCCTGATACAGAATTTTAAAACAGAATTATTAAATTGAAATCAGAAAAGGTTTTTGCAAAATCATTTCTGTGACAGAACTGAAAAATATCTTAAATCACCTTTAATCAAATATATGAAACCAGTATAGAATCCGTATCACCATAAACTGTAAATTTTACCTGTATTGAATATATACCTAGGAGGAGCTGTTTTTCACTATCTATATGCGGTTGTATGATTCTGATAAGGCACATAGAACTTACTTTTGGCAGTGTTTGTTAATGTTTATTATTTTCATACACAAATGTGTTACACTGGAATAAAAAGTAGCAAATTACATAAGGAAGTATGGGTACCCGAGTAGCTCCCAGGGATTGGTTGAAGGCATTGTCAGAGAAACAGGAAATCCATAGAATCAGAACGAAGTTCAAATGTTCAAATTCCCTTGAATTATTTTATTGTCTCTGTTCATCATAATTTTTGAGATCAGCATTCTCCTAAGAGAGGGCCAGACATTCTGTGATTCCACTGTACATCTTGCATGTCTTAACAATTCTGACTACTAGTGCTTGGAAAACACACTGCTTTCCCCACGGCTGTAGCTCAGCATATGTGTTTTCTGAGAGCTCGTTTCCCTAGGATTGCAGAGGTGGCCCTGTGTGACAGAAAAATCACTTGATGCTGGTTTTATTCTTACTTTTTGGGGGGCTTTTTTGCTTTCAGCTTTTTGAAACCACTGAATGTGGAAATGGCTATGTAGAAGCAGGAGAAGAATGTGATTGCGGTTTCCGAATGGCAAGTAGAGTTATATATTACTCCACAACTCTTACAAAAGATATTATGATAAATTAATATGATTGGTAAGGGAAGGGGAAAGGCTATGGAAACTAATCTGTTTTGCCTATTGTTACAGAACAACTTAACAGACTATGTTAAAACATTTTTTCAAGTGAGACTGTGTGCAAAGACAGCAAGTGTCCTTAGAACAGTATTTGTGTCATACTAATGACAAGATGTAGCCATTTCCCAGCCATTTTTGTATTGCACTGTGGCAGTGCTTCCCCCCTTTTCCTGGATAATGTGCCTGGAGCAGTAGACTCCTTATCTGCATCGGAGATAGGTTCCTGTGTTAAGAAAGCATAAATAAACTTATGTTTTCTTCTCTTGTAGAAATATTCCAATAATGTAGCAAAAATCTGCCCTGTAGCTTCAATACCTAGTTCTAGTATTTAAATATAATTCGTTTTCTTAATTTTTATTCTGCATTGAATGCAATTTAACTAAGCAGTGTGCATTGGCACAGGCTGTTCCACACCTGTGAAGAGATTTCAGAAAGTGTTCAGAAAGTGTTAATCTCCTTGTTGCTATAGCATGTATGTCACTGTTTTCCCTTTACTTTAGCATTTGAGTGTTGTATAGGATTCTTCCAGCTGATAATTTCAAATAGTCAATGCTGAACTGAATCTTTTGTCTGCTGGTACATAATAGCTTTTTGGAAAGATTGTGAACAAAAAAAACTATTTAAAATAGAAAACTAAAAATGTGCTTAACCTTTTCTTCAGGAATGCTATGCAGATTGTTGTAAGAAGTGCTCTCTTTCTAATGGAGCTCATTGTAGTGATGGACCCTGCTGTAATACATCATGTCTTGTGAGTGTTGCTGCAGTGTATCGATTGTTCTTAATTCTCTATGGGACTCATGTGCAGCCTCTTACAGTTCAAAGTGTGATTTGTGTAGAATGAAAAGTTTATGTAGACTAAGACTGTTATTCCAGACAATAATGTGGTTACTGCCCCAAATAAAAAGTGAACAGATTGCATTGGATATGTATTCACGTAAAGATAGCTTTTCTTTGCTTTTATATATCAGAGATTAAAAATATATCTCAACTTTCAAAGTATTATATGCTTCTGTTTAGCCTTTAAAATATTAAGAAACTGAAATATTTTTCAACACTTTGAAATTACTCTTGAGATTGTGGTGTTCTGTTGTTAACCAAGTAAAAAAGACAAATATGTGTGAGCATAGTGTTTACAGGGAGTTAAAATGACAAGTTATTCCAAACAGGAGTCTTTAATTCTGCTTTTACATCATCTTAGTCCTGAACTATGTTATTCTTTTTCTAGTTTTTCCCACGAGGCTATGACTGTCGATACGCAGTGAATGAATGTGATATTGCAGAGTTCTGCACTGGAGATTCTGGCCAGGTATGAATGCAAAAGTTTTCTCTGCTTACACTTTGGATGTTAATATTCATTTTATACTAGTTTAGGAATTAAAAACAGATTGACAGTCTGCACTCATATATCTACAAACAACTGTAGGATTAAAAAAAACCCCTCCAACACAATTTTTAAACATGAGTTAACTATCCTAAGTGAAAAAAAACATTAATCTGTGGACTCAAAATATGACTCTTATACGTTTATTTGTTTTTTAAAACTTGTGGAGATTTGTGTATCTGTTTAGTATTTGTGCCAGATATCCTTCTTTGCCTGGACTATAGCAAAAGTACTAAAAATATACTGCAAATGTGAATGGATCCAAAGGTTATAATAGTAAGAATTTATTAAATAAGAGAGTTTCACATATAAATGTAGAAAATTCCAACTAATTCAATTTAGAATAATTTAATAATTTAGTTTGGTAAAGACCTTTAAGATTGTAGAGTCAGCTGTTAAGCTAACACTGCCAAGTCCACCACTGAACCATGTCCTTAAGCACCACCTCTACACAGCTTTTCAATATCTCTAGGGATGGTGGCTCCACCACTACTCTGGGCAGCCTGTTCAGTGCCTGACAACCCTTTCAGTGAAGAATTTTTTTGTTGTTGCAAATATGGCCTCTGTATTAGCTACCACATACCTGTTACTGAACTCTGGTGGGTTGTCTCTGCTGCTCTGTGCTCCTCAGGGGGAGGACTCTTCACGCTCTTGCCTTGCTCCACCATGGGGTCTCTCCCACAGGAAACAGCTCTCCACTAACTTCTTCAACACAAATCCTTCCCATGGGCTAGTGCTCTTCACAAACTGCTCCAGCATAGGTCCTTTCCATGGTGTGCAGTCCTTCAGAAACAGACTGCTCCATCATAGGTCCCCTGTGGGGTTGAAAGTCCAGCCAACAAACTTGCTTCAGCACAGAATTCCCACAGGGCCACAGCCTCCTTCGGGCATCTGCCTGCTCTGGCATGTGGGGACATGGTATTTTTCAGAACAGATGTTTTTGGCCTATCAATTTCATTGTCTCCATGGGCTGCAGGTGGATGGATATCCGCTCCACTGTGGAGCTCCATGAGCTGCAGCGGGACAGCCTTTCTCACCATCTCTGCTGCAGCATCTGGAGCACCTCCTCCCCTTCTTTCTTCACTGACCTTGGTGTCTGCAGAGTTGCTGCTCTCGTATCTCTCTGCCTGCAATTGTGCGGGTTTTTTTCCTTCCCCGTTCTTAAATACATTATCCCAGAGGCTCTGCCACCGTTGATGATGGGTTCAGCCTTGGTCAGAAGTGGCTCCTTGGAGCCAACTGGCATTGGCTCTGTTGGACATTAGGGAAGCTTCTAGCAGCTTTTCTCACAACAGTCACCCCTGTACCACCCCATCCCTGCCCCCCGCTCACTACCAAAACATTGCTATGCAATACATGAATACTATTATTTTGCTTTTTATTTTGCTTCACCTCTTGAATTTCTACTTGGGATATGCAGAAAGCTAGAATCTAACCTTGTATGTCATGGCTCAAGATACTATTTTTTTTCATTTGTGTTTAGAGCTATAAAGATTCCTGCACTAATTATCTTACCTCCTTTATACATTGTGCAGTTGTCTTTTAAAACTGGGAAAATTCCATATGTGATCCTTTGTGTTATTATGGTACACATGATTAAAACAATTTTTTTATTTTTCCAGTGTCCACCAAATCTTCATAAACAGGATGGGTATGCCTGTGATTCTAACCAGGTAGACAATGTTTTAAAATCCTTGCACATCAGCAAAAAGAAATCAAACAAATACAAGTATTCATTTTTTTTTTAAACCTGTTTTCTGTTTATCTTCATACATTGTGTCTTTTGGACATCAATGTAGCTTGTGCTTCATGCACTCAATGAACAGTAAAAAATTACAGTTTGAGTAAAATCTACTTGGTATCTTTACACTTTACATGTAGAGCTTTTATCTTTACAACTACATAAATAAGAAGAAGTTTAAAGCAGATGCTAGAACGTCATGAAGTGAAAGACAACAAAAGACTTTGTGGAAATGTACTCCATCTACCCAAATTCATGAAAAATACTATACATCCAAATGTGTGTGTTAAGAATCAAAAAGAGACATTTGTTGGGGAAAGGGAAGGAAATAATATTCAGTTCTCATTGCTAACATGTTTTGTTTTGTTTAGGGTCGTTGCTATAATGGTGAATGCAAGACAAGAGATAATCAGTGCAAATATATCTGGGGATCTAGTAAGTTGACTTAAACTACCTTAAATGTACTTTATTTCTAGTTTATTCCTGCCTTTGTTTTATATTTCTAGTATTTTTATTTTTTGCTCTTGCCACTGTAAGTTAAAGTTTTCTGCTCAGCAGAGTAGGCTGCAGTGAGAGGCTGTGGCTTGATTTCAAGCTGTGTGCCTGTTAGGGATTGACGGCAGTGAGATTGTTCTGACATGATGTAGTGGCAGGTGTAGATAGGGCAGCAAATGCTGGACTCTGATGCAATTATGTGCAAAAACATACAAAATATTAGCACATCTGAGTTTGGGAAAAAATGGGTTTGAGGATTTTTTTGTATTTTTCAGAACAGATGTGTTTGGCTTGTCAATTCCATTGTCTCGGTAGTGGTTCATGCTAAAGCTGCTCCACCTTGCCTCTCTTTGCTACAGCATCCTGCAGTGAGAAAAATGTGTACTAGTGTGAATTTAAATATCCATAGTACAAGTTTAAGCCCAGAAATGCTAACCAAATAGAAATGCAGTTGCAATGCATTTTGCTGGCAGCTGAGGGGATAAATGCTGTGTAAAGACTTTGAACAGAGCAGAACTATCAGGATGTCCTGTACTCTAGCACTTAATGTTTTCTTGTGCATTTTCATAGAATCATAACTGCCACTGTTGGCACTGCCTGTTTGAGGCAGAATTATTCCATGCCAGGGAAGATGGGAAGGGAGAGAGTTTTACCATTTATTGTTTTTTTGCACAATACAAAAGATGCTGTATAAATGTAAAATTGGATGGAGACATTTTCTTTGTCTTCTGATGTTGCCACCTGATATTGATAATATTAAAGGCAATAGATGTATTTGTTAACTTACTTTTGTATCTTACACACTTCAATTTTAAAATACTTGGTTTGTCTTGTGTACAAGTGATTTTACTGAAACTATGCTTATTTACCTTTAATATTTTATCTTTGTCTCTTATTGTTGTGCTTTTTCTTTTTTTAATTGATTTTTTGAAAAAAAAAAACAAATGGGCTTGTTAGTAAATAATTGTGGTTTTAAATCTATTGGTTCAGATTTCTACTCCTAAAAAGCAGTAAAAATTACACTGTGACTGTTAAACCTCATTTTCTCTCTGAACTCCTAAAAAAACCCAATATTGAGTTGATCAGAACATGCCCTCATGGTATATGTCAGATATTGAATTCATCTCCTGAAATACAGATCAGGAATAACTGCAGTGAAAACAACTAGATTAAATCTATGTTTTGAAGTGAAGAATATTAGACCATAGATAAATTCAAATACAGAAGGCAGTACAGACACTGTGGAGATTGCTTTTTAAAATGTTCAGGGTGAATTTGCAACATTGAGCATGATTTTAGAAAAGCCAACTGCAAGCATTGTTGTTCAATCTCTTGGGTTGCCACTGTAGTAACTGGAAAATACCACCTGTGCATATATACGCGGTGAGATTTGTTTTGTATTAAAAGCATACAGAGAACCACTGCAATAAATTCTGCAGGTTTTCAAAGTTCTCATTTTGCCAGTGGAAAGTACATTCCTTTTTCTTTCCTCCATCAACAGAGTCTTCAGGATCAGACAAATTTTGTTATGAAAAGCTTAATACAGAAGGCACAAAAAAAGGCAACTGTGGAAAGGATGGAGACAGATGGATTCAGTGCAGCAAACAGTAAGTTCAGCTTGGTAGAGATTATTTGTGGTTTAGATTAATACTGGTCTAATATTGTCTGCTTTTCCATGAGTGAATCCTCTTTCCATCACAAGATTTGCGTCTTGAAAAAGTTCCGTTCTGACAAACCCATGTGACTCAGCAATACACTTATAAAGAATTCCAGATTTTCAGAAGGACGTAGTGTGACTTAAATTCTTTTAGAGGAGCTGGGGGACAAGCCAGCAAAATTCACAAGATCATAATATAAAAACACTGGAAACTTGGTCAGGATATATTAGGCTGCAAACACACACACTTTTTTCGCTTTCTCTGGGACTGAAACCAGATTATGCTGTTTTGAGTTTGTTCCAACCTTTATTTTGACCGAAGAGATATTAGATATTTGGGTACCATAGAGAAAATGGCTGATTCATTTGCATGTGCTCACTAGATGGATATTTGATTAAATTTACTTTTCAAATTAATGAACATGAGTGGATAGACTTGAAATTCTTCTTGTTTTGTAATTTTTAAGTATGCATATAAAAATCTCAGTCTCAGAATGGTATTTACCTTCCTTAACCTTTGACTTAATGCTTTTCAAGTGACTTTTTTATTACGATTCGCTTTTCAGATAGGATCACAAAGAAAGGGTTTGCTTAATGGATTCTATTATATTTAGATGAGAAGTGTTGTGCTGACAGTGTATTTACTACCTCTTTTGTATTACAGAAGCTTTTCTTGGTCAGTAGATGCAGATATATGGTCTACTAAATGGCCTTTTAAAGTTTTTGCAATTTTAACAAATACAATTTTCAGCATTCATCCAGCTGCTTGTGTGACTCAGGACAATTAGAGTAGGAGGTGGAAGTTAAAGATTTAAATTCAATTAAAAATTCAAACTTCACATTAACATATGGCATCCAAGCTGCTAGGGAGAGAGAAATGTGATTTACCTGATATGACAAAACTTTGTATAGTTTGGCTCCTCTTAATTGTACTGTATTGTATTTAGAGCACAGAGAAGTTTTTGTATGGGAACATCCACTGCATTAGAATGAACAATTACTTGTTCCTACCTCTTTCTACCTCTACCTCACTGAATGTGATCAGCAGCATTATTGCCAGTGTTTCTTTTTTCTAAATTTACTTCATATTATTCCAGTAACTTCTTGATTTCTGTTTTCATTTTACAGTGATGTTTTCTGTGGTTTTTTGCTCTGTACTAATCTTACTAAAGTTCCACGAGTTGGTCAAGTTCAAGGAGAAATCATCCCAAATTCTTTTTATCATCAAGGACGAATAGTGGACTGCAGGTAAAAGATAGTGCAGTGTTCCAACATGATTTTGCGCTGTCAAAACTAGCTGAATTGATATAAACATAAATGTAAAATTTTATTCTTTTTAGTAATTAATATCTTACAGCAGAAGAATTATTTTGAGTGGCATTTCTTTTGATAAAAAAGTAACCCCCTAATATTTCACATTGAAAGGGGGCAAAATATGGATTATCCTCCTGATTACTCTATCTGATCTCTCCAGTAGCACAGTCAGTTTAATGCTCAGAATTACACTTTTCTGCAGGCAAAAAAAGAGACCCATAATTAAGCATAATTTTATTGAGTATTATATCCTCAGAGAAATAACTGTAGGGAAGTGAAGGCTGAAAAGGAGGATACTGAAGAGTTGTGGCAGGCTAAGATGTTAAGCTATATTCAGTAAAAAGGCACATAAGTGGATTTTAGACTAGTATGCAAAATACTGGATTTGTAGTTTAAAGACATTGGCAACATTACTGTCATGCTAAGAATATTCTCTTACATAGTTGGGCCCTGAGTGAACAAAGATTCTTAACTCTTTTATTATTCCACTGTTATTTTCTTTTAAATGTCATCAGATGGGAAGTTAGGTTTTTTGAACATTTTTGTACCAAAAGTATTTCACAGCATTTGAGGGGAAAAAGGAAAAAAGCACGGCTCATCAAAGACTATTAAAAAACATTCAAAGCCTAAGGTGCCCTTTTTGAGTATTTGAATCATTATCTGGACTCATTTTTAGTCTGACAACTGGAACACCTTGCCAAATGCTGTGGACAGACAGAAAAATGTTATAGTTTTGTACAAGCTGTGTCTGTATGCTTGAATGAGGTGAAAGTTAGGAGGCTTCTAGTATCTCACTGACATATTTAATATTTTTAACAAGGCTCCAGTCGTAATACTAATGGTAATTTAAAACTTATTTCTCCTAGTGGTGCTCATGTTCTTCTAGATGATGATACAGATTTAGGTTATGTGGAGGATGGAGCCCCGTGTGGACCTCACATGATGTGTCTGGACAAAAAGTGCCTGCCAATTCAGTCCTTGAACATAAGCAGCTGCCCCATTGGTTCTAATGGAAAAGTCTGTTCTGGTCACGGGGTGAGTCTGTTCTGGGAGTTGGCAGCAAAGCTGCTCCATCTCTCTGCTGAATCTGATGTTCGTGCACCCTGTGGTGTTCTTTACCTGAAAGTGTTCCTAACACCTGTTGATCTGAACATTAGATTCAGGGAAAGACTGTCATTCTGTGATGCACAGATAAAATTGTAGAAAGCAAAGTTGTCAAATTAGCTCTGCAGTTCTATTCAAAATGTTTTCATTACCAGGAAGAAAAAGCCTTGACATCAGCCACTGTAAAGACTTTTGTAATGTACTACCCATATTTTAAGCTCCTTGCCATCTTCAGTTAAAGTTTTCCTGCATACTAGCACCTTTATACAGTTGGTCTTGTGTTAATGGATTTATAACTCATCGCTTAAATTATTACAATTCTAAACTGGTGGAACTCGACAGAGATTATATATTCTTCTTGAACAGATGCAAGGTGTATAATTTTATATTGAGGCACATCATATTCTGTTATTCTACCCCTAAGTCCATTTGTCTAAGACATTAGGAAAGTTTTGATGAACAGATTCACTGCTCCACGTCTTAACTGTAATACTGATCAACTCCTTCTGCTGTGGAATTCAGTGGACAGATACTTGCCTTAAGGTCTAGACTTTATCCAAGAAGTCTGGGGTTTTTCTTCTTTTTATGTATAATTGAAGATGTATTTGAGTGCTTCAAAGAAAAGGTCTAGGTTCAAAATCAAGAAGAAAAATTTAAATATTGGAAAGTAAAGGATGTAGGAGATTTAGAAATCATCTTGGTACTTTTGGAGAGTGGAATGAGTGGTGACAGAACTATGTTACCTTTTTTGTTTTGCTTTGGATTATTCCAACTCAATTTAAAAAAAATACTTCAGTTGATCAAACCTGCCATAAGACTTATTTGTCTTCAGCTTCCTAGATAAGATTCTTCAGTGAATACTTTAAGAAGCAGAGTGAGATAAAAGTTACACCTTAGAAATTCGCATGTACTACTTATTTGCAATCCTTAGGGTTTAGGTTATTTTCTGCTTTTATTGACTGTTCCAGTGTTGTAATGAGCTGCTGCCTAATGACTGACTTCACTTCTCATCCCATAATCATTCCTCATGCCATGCTTTTTCCTTAGTATCCCCTCCTAGCAACACATTCCGTGTTCGTATTCATTTGGAAAGTTTAATAGCTATTAACTCTCATTATTGATTTGATGTTTTAGGTTTTGCCAATTGGATAGATCTTCGTGTATCAGATAAATGTACTAAAAATGTTAGTGAGTCCTAAGTACTTCTTAGAGGTCATTCAACTAAATGTAGACTTAGGAAGAACTTTTTCCTCTTTGTAGAAAATAAGCAAGCAATCCTCATTTCTGCTTAGAAAAAAACCCTGACAAAATCCATAAAAAAACGTAATATTTTTTCTACATGGGAACAAGCTGTAAATGAGAGATTGTAAAGCATAACCATGTCTTGAACCTTTAAGCGCATTCTTGTATTCCTTCTTGATATACAGGCTCAAAGTCTAGATTGTTGATTAGTGAAGATCTGACTAGTCTAGAAAAGGGTTTTTTTGGATGAGAATTTCTGTTGTTTTTTACATCCTAAGCAGGTGTTTAGTGCAAGTGATGATGGAACCACTGGGAACATTCCT